GCAAAGAGTTGCACAAATATGCAACAGTCAAACCAAAACATTCTCACTAAATGCTCTGTTCACAAATGTCAGGACATCCTACTTGACATCATGAACTGAACCTTGCAATACTAAAAATAACCACCCACAGAATGTTAAGACTATATGTCAAGATATCCTGTAGGATATCTTGTGATATTCACCAAGGTTTACCAAAATTCATTCCAATCAAGAAATAACAACTTCTGACAATTGAAACACTGAATGTGACTTTTGTCAGGATTTCGACCATTAATCACCTTTTCCTCTACCTGCAGCACCACCTCTTTGGTTGCCTTGGTTCTAGGGTTTTATCTGATTCGACCAGTTTCCTTCTTGCTGATTTCGATCAGTCGAATTGTTGTAGCCTCCTCTACCTTTGTTTCCATTCTAGCTTCCTTTGCCTTTCTTTTCTTTTTCTGACTGTGCTGGCAAAGCCATATCTCTCTTCGACTTTCCTGCAGCTCTTTCAGCCATCCTTTGTTCATGAGACTCAAGCGTCCCTTGAAGCAATTCCTTCGTCAATATTGTCAAGTCTTTTGACTCTTTTATGGCTACTACCACGTGGTCGAACTTTGGAGCCAATGACCTCAAGATCTTTGCAACAACTAATCTTGATGTCAACACTTCTCCATATACCTTGATTTGATTCATCAACTTTGTAACTCTAGTGAAAAAATTTGTTATACTTTCACTTTCTTCCATCTGAAGCAATTCATAGGTTCTCTTGTGAGTTTTTAATCTCGTCTCTTTCATCTTCTCTGCTCCTCCAAACAATTTTTCAAGAATCTCCCACGCTTCCTTCGCTGACTTTACATCACTAACCTTTTCAAAGTTATCTGAATCAACACATTGATGGATTATAAAGAGAGCTTTATAATCTTTCTTCTTCAATTCTTTGTGTGCAACCTTTTCTCGATCTGTCGCATTTTCTGCAAGCGGTGCTACTCCTCACTTCACAAGATCCCAAAGATATTGATAATAGAAAACCACCTTAATCTGCTTGCACCAATTCTCATAATTATCTTTCTTGAGAATTGGAAGATTTGCCGAAAAGTGTCCGTTTGGATGATTCATCGCCATCACGGTTTTACTACCTTGAATCACAATCGGAGCTCTAGATACCAAATGTTGGAATTCAACCATAACCTATGGAGAATTCATATTCAATCGTGATCTCAAGATTGTTATCAATCACGCAATAACAATAAAAGAAAAGGTTGAGAAATAAAGAAAATAACGTTGGAGAAGAAGAAGATGATGAATATTCTGCAGTGTTTCTCTCTGCTTCCAAACTGGAATTTCTTATTCACTTTGCAACTGAAAAATTATGAATACAATATTATGAGTTGTGTTTACAAAATAAGGGGTTCTCTCTATTTGTTGATTTAGGTTAGCTTGCACCCTAAGCCATAGTCCAAAATTATAAAAGCCTGAAATAGCTAACATTACTAAAATAGACCTAAGTCGAAATCTTGTGTGAAGCAACCTACTTTAACACTTCAACACACTAATCGCAATCTGGACCAATATAAGATTAAAAAAAAATAGGCAGAACATCAGTCCGACTACCTGATATGTTAGGCGTGCTAGACTACATTTGGGAGAACAACAAATTCTTCCTAACTAGATAGACAAGGAAGTATTTGAAGAACTTCTTTTCTATTGTGATACAGAGAATTTTAAGAGAAAATATGAAAATGCAAAGAAATTAAGAGCATCTTAAGCACAGTTGCCTTAATTCAGTAGGAAGTATTAGTATCAGCGAACATGCTCGACAGATGATAATTATAACTATTTTTTAAAGTTATATTTTGATTTATTATATATTTGTAATTAAATTTAATTATTTTAATTAGGCTAAGGACATGAGGAGACCCCCACGAATTAATGAGTTGCTTGTGAAGACCCGTACCAAAAAATTGGGGGAGTTTGTTGACGACCATTCAAGAATAACTTTAGTAAGTTGTTTATATTTCATTATTTTATTTAATTATTGTATATTACTTGTATATGAGGTTACTCACACTTTCTAGTTAATATACTTCGATAGGTTCATATTCGATTGATCCAAGTGTGAATCTTTATATTTGGAGTTTAGCAAGTGGCGAGAAGGGAGCTAATAGGTGTTTTTTTGTTGGGCCTTTTACCGACAACTACAGAAATTGGATAGAAATTTATTTCAAAGACTTGTAGATGAGGAAGGAACGTCACATCCACCGAATTGACACCCAGAATGATGGAAACAACGAGACGAGTGGCTCTAACTGAGGCGAGATGTGAGACGGCGACACAAGAGGCAGTGTTAAAGACCGAAATTGAGAAAATGAAGAAGAGACAATCTGAGATGAAGGAAATCAAGAGTCTGATGAAAATGGAGGAGTTGGTGGTCAAAAAACAGTAAATTAGGAGGATGAAAATAAAGAAGACGAGTTATTTAGTGATGCTTGATTTTTTTATATTGTTATTTATGTTTGTGACGTGAATATCATGTGGCTAATGAGTATTTTTTTTAATAAATGTAATTTTAATTTTTGTATTAATTATTAATTATGTTTTAATTATAATCATTATTTAAAAATATTTTCATTAATTTTTAATTTTTTATATTAGAAGATATCTTGCGAATTAGAAATAACATGGCAAATTTCTAGAAAAAAAATTATAGTGGTGTGTTTTTCACATTGTTATTGATAATTTTATAGTGTGAATTTCACGTGGCTTCATAGTCAACATTGACCACCTTTACTCCCTATATCTAGATGTTGTAGTTTATGTAAATGCAGTGCAGTCTATTTTTTAATCAGCGATGTGAATATCACGCCATAGTTTAGTGACATGTTTTTTATTTAGTTAGTGTCGTAAATTTCACGTGACAAATAATTGTTATTGTTGTAGCATTAGTGACTAAAATATCTTTGAATAAAATTGGATATTGCAGGTCGATAGCTACCAATGTCTTTAAAATGTGTATAAATATTTTGTTGATCTCTATTTTACAATTCAAATTCATTATAAAAAAAATTGATTAACACACGTAATTCAAATTGATTTCCAATTTTCAATTTTATAAACTTTAACTAATAAATTTATAACTATTTCTTCAATATATAAATTTTTGGAACTAAATTGTCCTACTATCACATAACACAGTTACGAAAATAGCCCCAAATCAGTTTCTCCAGTCCCCTCCGCGAAACGCAGGAATCACTCAAGGCAGCAACGATCACTCATCACACATCACTCATCACCGGCTACCAAGATTCGCACTAACACCAAAGGTTCATAGTTTCTAAATATCTTCTCTACTTTTCTCTTCAATTTTAGCTTTCTCTTCACTGCTCTCACTGTCATTCGTTTACCTATTTCTGTCTAAATTGCATTTCAAACAGTAACCTATAAATCATCTTAGAGATCCGACAGATGAAAATTTCGCATGCATCTCAGATCCGAACAATCTTCTTGTTATGAATTGCAAGGGATCGGAGAAATTATAATTATTATAAAAATAATATAGTTTTTTTTAAGATCAGTTATTGGCAAATAGATCCCAAATCACATGTTGTATGATTTTACTTAGTGTTGTTTAGTAGATATATACGCATTAGTTTGAGGCATCATGGCTTCACTTTTCATGATTTTGGAGTTAGTTAGATTCACTTTCCAATTATTGAAATCCGTTAGGTATTCAAATGCTTGGGACTTGGGAGAAAAGAAATTACTAGTACTTTATAAATTATATGTCGACGTCGGTATTAATTTGAAAAAATGAACAAATTGAACGTAATCGCGAATGTTGGTGTGTTCTCAGTGTCGGTGTCACGTTTGTTCAGAGGTGTTGGTGCAAACTGGATAACCAATAGATGCTTGATTGCCCATTTGCAAGTATTTTCAATCATGTAAAACTTATTATCTTGTTGGAAGGAGTCTCTAGATGTTTGGTCTGGATGCAATATTGAATGAAGTTTGTTTTGTTCTTCAGCTTTTCATTTAACTAAAAATTTAAATGTTTGTACTTGTAAGTTGTAATAGGATATGATTTTTCATCAGAAAAATGAAAGTATTATTTGTTTAATGTCTATTTTGAGAATTGATTTGGTTAGAGTTTGCTTGCTATATAATTTATTTGGCATAGAAAATATGAGCAGGGCAAGGTATTAAAAAGTTAGACAAAAAAATCGAGAGTGGGGTTGGAGGCGGGTGTGTGTTTGGGTACCCAATTTCCACCCCCGACAAGAGCAATTAATTGATACCTATGGCCTTAACTATGAATTGAGAACCCCTATGTGCACATGTCATCTACTTACACTAACATGCATGATTCACACCCTCTTTTGAGACCAACATCACTCCCTCCATTCCATAACTTCGGTGGTTTTAGTTTTTGGACATAGATTAAAGAATCATTCATTGATGCATATTTGTATCAAAATACCTTTAGATGATGAATTGTTTTTACAAACAATTCATTCTCAATAGAATACAAATAATCCACTATAAACAATCTTGTAAAAACAATATTATTAGTCAAGTTGATAAATAAAGGTCAATTACATCTTGAATTTTTAAAATACAAATATTTTGAAGCCAAAATAGAAAACTAAAACAGCCAAAGATGTGCACTTAATGTGCAACTTGCTTTTTCTCTATAATTTGTTTTTCTTATAAGTAATTAGTAATATCACATTTCCCCTAATAAGACACATAAGAACTGAAGTTCTTTTGGCAATAGCTCTTTTATGGTATGGTTGCTACTATAACTTATCCGTGGTTAATTAGTTACTGTGTTATATTTTGGCAAACTGTATATTGTCTGAGAAAGTGCTCTGGTTTTGTGCTTCTAATATCTTGTTGGTTATCTTGAGTTGGGTTCCTAAATTGTGGGTAAGTTTAAAAATATTGGATTTGTTTCATTCCTACCATATTTGAATCATTTAATTTAATTATTTCTGCAGCAAAACAAATCTGGGTGAGCTCTAACGATGGCTCCGGTTGCTCCTCGAACTGGTGATGCGATATTTGCTAACATTGAACGCGTTGTAAGCAAGCCAAAACAAAACCCTCATTATACTCTGTTCGGTACCCAAGAAAATAACATTGCTCATTTTCCAGTTTCCCCCAATTTTACACCAATATACTGTGGATTCCTCTCCCTTTTTTTTTTGCTTTACATAAAAATGACAATTTTGTTTCAAGTTCCTGGAATCCTTATTTCGAGTTAATTATATTGATCTGCATTAGAAATAGAATTTAGAAAGTTCTCTTGGACTGTGCAGAACGCGGAGCTATTTACTCTGACTTATGGGGCAATTGTGCGGCAATTGCTTACAGATCTGGAAGAGGTTGAGGAAGTCAACAAGCAGCTAGATCAAATGTACAATTCTGAAACTCTCTTTCCCTTTCAATTCAATATGTTGTGTTCTCTTTATCTTCTGATGCCGTAAAATTTGTTTTTTCACATCTAATTTGTGGGATTTTTAGCTCCATGGTTTGGTGTGTATTTGTATTTGGGTCACTTTCATCAATATGAATTTTGCTGTTCGGTTGGTATTTTCAGGGGTTATAATATTGGAATCCGTTTGATTGATGAGTTTTTGGCTAAATCTAATGTCTCAAGGTGTGTTGATTTCAGAGAGACTGCTGATGTGATTGCAAAGGTATTGTATTGTTGTTTGGTTTCATTAGATGCCGGTACAAAAAATATGAAAATGTTTATTCTCATTGTGGTGAAGGTCATGCAAAGATGGCACTTCTGCTTGTTCATTTAATCTATAGTAATATCCAGCTGTTCAGGGTCCCCTTAATTTACTTGATTTGAGCGTACGGCAGTGTGTATTGGTTCTTGGCTTAATCTACACATGAAATATAAATAAATATCAGAAAGCATATTTGTGGGCACAAAAATTAAGTTTCATACTTGGCTTGATATGTTTGAACTTCAAGATTTTTAGAACATTGGAAAAGAGTTCTCAGATGGCAGGTATATAACCTCGGTTCTCTGGTAGTCTGAGTAGAACTAAGATTGTGTTCTTGGGAACAAAAGCTTAGTTAGTTAGTTAGTTAGTTGGTTATGTTACGCTATGATGTGTATAAATAAGAGGAAGGGATTAGAGGGATGCATCTGGTACTAAGGAAATTCTTCCTTAAGTCTTCTAATAAAGATTTCACTTCTTATCAAAATGATTAATAGGTTACCCTCTTAGTTGGGTGGGTTAGACTGATGTGTATATAAATAAAAGAAAAGGTTTAGACAAAAGCATCTTGTCAGTTGAGAGATTAAGGGTCTTCGGGAATTGAAGGAGCTAACCGTCTGAATTTTGCAATCTATATTGCAATATGGGAAATTCTTCCTTGAACTTTCTAATGAAGATATACCAAATCTTTTCAAAATGGTAACTGTGTTCCATCCATGATCAATGGCGACGATGAGAATGGAGGAAGATTAGTTGAATCAATTGATTGTGAGAACTTTAGTGTCTTGAAATCAAGATAGAGAAAGACACGAGGCATGACTCAATACATGAGATAAGCCACTGCAGAGTTTTGAAGCAGAAGGGTATGAAATTTTCTGTAATAGACACTGCTAGTTTGAATCATTGGATCCTGATCAGCTTGTTTACATCTTATCTTTGCTATTCACCTTCAGAACAAGGTGAAAGTTCAATGTACCCTGTTAGTTTGTTAGGTTAGGCTGTGATGTGTATAATTAAGAGGGAGGGATTAGAAGTTTCTTGTCTATTGAGAGGGTTAGGGCCTTTAGACATGGAGAGGTTTAGACCCTCAAAGTTTTGCATAAGCCAAATTCATATGAACAAGTGTGTTTATAGGTTTTTTATTTTAGTATGGAAATGAATGTTGTAGATGTATATGATTTGAAAGCATTAGACTAGATGCAATGCAATAGAGGGCGCACCTGCTACTTAAATTATCATTAGTTTACCATTATGAGTTTGTGGATGATTTGGATTCAAATCGGAAGATGTATTTGATTTGGGGGGCAGTCAACTGATTTTAGAACACAGATGAAATACGGTCTGGTTTTGAGAGTGTTGTTATTTGCAAATGAAGATAGAATTGGCGAAACAAAATTATTCAGGTTCGAGCCCGACATAATGTCAGTAAACATAAAAGTCTCTCATTATGGAGTATTTTGTATATCCATTATAAGTTATGCCGTTCAACTTATCGTTCATTAAGGATGCTATTTAACTTCTTTTTTTTCCGTTTTTAATCATGCTGAGTCCAAAGCTTATCTTCATTCTTCATCAACTAGTTTTTTGATATTATATCTTCTTGGCCCATTGTTATTGGATGGCCCTAAATTTATATATAGAGTTCTTTTGCGACCCGTTTAATTAGATTTTCTTGGCTTTCGTTTCATGTTGTAGTTGGTTTGTTTGTGCTACTTTTGTTTAATTTCTGTATCTAACAGTTGGGTGACTGTCAACACATTTTGATTAGTATGACTTTTACAAGAGTGGGCTATATGCTGGTACTTGGTTGTGTGATCAGCATTTTTTGGTTTATTTACTAATTTTATTATATTATTAGTAAAGCATATTTAAGTAGCAGATGAGTTTATTTTTATCAACCTTAATAATTCTTTTATGCAGGTTGGTTTTAAAATGTTCCTCGGTGTTACCGCATCCGTGACCAATTGGGATGCTGAAGGGACTTGTTGTAGTATTGTTTTGGAAGATAATCCTTTGGTGGACTTTGTTGAGCTTCCTGATAACTATCAAGGTCTGTACTACTGCAACATATTAAGCGGAGTCATTAGAGGAGCCTTGGATATGGTAAGTTTCTATTTCTTATCTAATTTGACATATTATACTTCATGCTTTCAACACTTAGGAAACAAAAAAATATATAATAGTTTGATTGCCAGTCTTCTGAAATTTGAGTATTTTTCTCAAATATGAAATAGATTACTCATGATTTTGTCCTGATTCTTCTACATTCGTTCTCAGGTATCAATGAAAGCTGAGGTCACTTGGTTACGTGATGCACTTCGAGGTGATGATGTGTTTGAGTTGCAAGTAAAACTTCTCAAGCAAGTTCCAGAAGAGTATCCATATAAGGATGATGAGTAATGTTCTGTTTTGTAATGTTGTACTTCATCATCCCAAGTATTAGATTATTATCTTTCTTTGCCTTGTGTGCATTTTGACAAAACTTAAATACAATAGAAAATCGTTAGTTAAATCATTATGATATTGGGATTTTATAGATTCTTAAATTGTTCGTGATGTCTTCATCATTTTATTATGTTATTATGGGCTTGATGCATGTTTCACACCTAACTTTAAATTTGGGCGTCTAATCCTACTTATTTGTAACTCTTTTATTCTTCAATTGTAAGCAACCTAAACATGGCTTAAGGTCAAATTTTAAAAAGGACATTATACTCTAGAAATTCGGAAAATGTTCTTTCAAATTTGGATACATCTCTAGATGCAACCATTTATAGCATAATTGAGCAACACTTTCATTTTCTTTCTTAATTTAGTTCAGATATGTATCTCTAGAATAATCTCATATATGTATCTCTAGAATAATCTAATATGCACATTCATCCGTAATTGAATCACACGTTTACTTTGTCCTAGTTTAGTCCGAAGATATATCTACGTGACAAAATATAAATATGCGCTTGCCTAATCACCCTTTAGATAGTAAATTTTGACACTTCTTTTTTAGATAGTAAATTTTGACACTTCTTTTTTAGATAGTAAATTTTGACACTTTTTTAGAAATATACCAATGTAATATACCATGTATTATAATTAGACTATTATATAAAAAATTTATCAATTAAACCATACACTGATCTAATAAGATGAAAATTACATAATCAAAATAACAAGCAAAATACAGTCAAAATAACAAATTAACAAACGATAATACTAACCATAATTCCTAATACAAATACTATACTATTGTGTATGTCGGGCCTCTTTGTTCCTTCATTGCCTTATGTATTGCAAAGTCATATGTGTCTTAGTTAGAATGACATCTACAATGGTGCTCCCATAAGTGTCTTTCAAAAAGTTTCATCTCTATATACTCACTCGCTCAAGATCCATAATACGACGACATACAAGTAACACATCAACGACATGATATATCATTGCTTACTCCTTTACTAATATCTTTTGATGAGTTGGCTTAGGTGTCTCTCCCTCAGCATTCTGTGTCATATAAGAATGTGACACTCTGAAATACCACTGGAGTAGTTGAATGGAAAATTTCATTCGTTAGGAGCTACAATACCTCGTTCTTCACTCTGTACCAGATGATTAAGGAAATTATATCATACATAAAATCTACATCTCTGCGGGCATAGTGGGAGGAACAGACACAAAGGGGTCTCTTGGAACAACCAGCATATACCCGAATTGGAGCATGACTCGCTCAGGAAAATCTGGATACATTAGACGTGACCTGCAAGTCAACCATAAAGAGTAAAAGGTTATGTCATCTAATGCATGCGTTTAAGGGTGACAGTTGTACGACCAAAAGTGTATATCATTTGTTGTTGTGTGATCTTAATACACTTTAAAGGGTTTGGTCGACTACTTCCCTCTAAGCGGGACAAACGCACAAGCACATGGCATATCCTCAATGAAGTGATCAACATATAACCAACCGAAAATGCTTGGAAAATGTTGGAGGATTCATGTCTAAAAAGGGTACATCTTAAGAATGTGTGGTTGGACCTAACTCAACCCTACAAAACTGGCTTGTAAGGTGAGGATTTTTCTCATTTATAAACACATGTTCAGGCCATATATTGTCTGTCGTGATACTCTTTAACACCCCATCTCACGCTGAGGATTTGCGTCTGTGACGTGGAACTAAATGGTGGGGGGCCAAATGGATCTTAAACGAGACTCTAATACCATTTTAAGAATGTGCGGTTAGGCCTAATTCAATCCTACAAAACTGGCTTGTAAAGTGAGGATTGACCTTATTTATAAACATGTATTTAGGCCATATATTATCTGACGTGGGACTCTTTAAACAAATGAATTATTGTTAACGGTGTAGCACAAGTGTTACGAAAATGGTACATAAATAAAAAAGGATGCAAATATATTACTATCAATAGCGTGCAACTAGCTATCATATGTTTGGTATTTTAAAGACAATTTTCAACTAACTTGGAGTACAGGTAAACCAAACAAGTGCCCCCAATTGTACTCGTGAATCCGCTCCAAGCCAGTGAAGTATCTGAGGTAAACCACATCCATATAATAGGAACTCTTGCCCATAGATATGGACGTGCCAACTAAGTACACGAGGTATGACCTCAATGCACATGCTCTATGATACATAAAATATTCATTATCACCATCGGCGTGCACTGCTGCAGCCAAGTCATGTGCATACAAGCTCTCTAAGAATCCAAATCTAACATGACACTCTCTGGTTTCTTATATCTCCTTTAGGGAATCCTTTAGCTCAGCTTCCAAATATGTCACCATCATCTCCAATGCATCAACTCTGGTAATCCTGGAGTGGTATACTAATCCTCCCTTGACCGAAAAATGTAGCAGGCATGAGAAATCATCCAGTGTGATGGACATCTCACCATGCAAGAGATGAAAAGATGACGTCTTAGAGTGTCATCTCTCAACGAACCCCGAAAGCATACCATGGTTAATAGTAAAAAATTAACCTAGATGAAACACATTCAAAATCAAACCAAGCAATGCATACAGATCAAATACAGAAATGCACTTCCATATTTACCCACAACTCAATAAAAATGCACGAAAGCAAAAAAAGCTCAAAACATATAGCTTAGTTATATTACCTAACAATGACTATAGCTATTTATATATTGATGTATATTACAAAACCTAATATTTCTATTTTTCAATGTATGCATAGAAAATAAAATGTGAAAATTTTGAATTTAAAAACTTTCCAAACATGTAGTTAATGATGAGCACTTCAATTGATTGGATGTTGAAAGTAAAATTGGAAAAACCACATGGATTGAATAAAGTAAAAATGAAACTTGAAAGTGACTTTTTTTTGTAGGCAAACCTTGAAAGTGACTTGAGAGAGTTTGGGAGTTTGTGTGTTGCTAGAAATGAAGAAGTGGGAGAGTCTGGCGTGCATTTGATTAAAACCTCATTCGAAGACGCACTTCGGTAATTTATACGAAGATACATTTTCGTATTAATTTTGATAAAATAAAAGTCTGACTCACTATCAAATGAATTGAGTGCGGATTGGAGTAGGGGTGTTCGCGGTGTGGTTTGGACGGTTTTGACGCTAAAAGTCATCTGAACCGTGAGAGAAAAATATGTGGTTTGGTTTGGTTAAGTTGACTTTTTAAAATAAAGCCAAACTAAACTAATGTGGTTCGATTCGGTTCGATTTTTTACAAAAATTTACTGAGTCTTGCATACATATATAGAGTACAAAGTAACTTTGTGTTTAGTCATTCATACATTACAAAATAACAACAAAATTGATAATATTTAGACAACAACTTTCTTTTTTTCTTTTTTGAAATATTAGTATCCGGACTTGCGACAGACTCTGTCCACTTTCGGGGGCCCCATTTAAAGTCAGAGTAAAGTTCTGTATGAGCTGGCTCAACATAATAATTGATTGCATGTAGCAGAATTCGAACCTGAGACCTTGAGAGAAACATACTCTCAAGACTCAAGCCTCAACAACCACTAGACTAACCCTTAGGGTAGGGGAGATGTTCCATTTAATATGTAAAATTAATATTGGATAAAAATGTAATAATAAATATAAAACAATAGCATTAGAAAATTTCAAAAACATTATATTGAAAAAAAATATATAGAAGGTGAGAGATTATTGAAGATGAAAAAAAGAACAAAAGAAAGAACAATAATATAACAATGAGAAGATGAAAAAGAAAGAATATAATATAGTAGAAACTGAAACTCTAAGTGAATTTTAGATTGTAACATAATGTGGTTTGATTCAGTTTGCAAAGTAAAAACCACAAACTAAATCAAACTGCACGGTTTTATTAAAATATGACTAAAAAACACTCGAATCAAATATGATTTTTTGCAATTTCGATTTGGTTCGATTTACAGTTTTCTATTGAACTGTTCAATTTTAAACACCTCTAGATTGGAGTGCGTCCAGAAATGTATTCTAAATTTCAAGAATATCTTTTTTATTAAAGTGTGTATGCAACCTTAAGGTGGGAGAAGTAATCACTTTTGAAAATGCCTTATAAATTGATAGTTGCCCTACTTTCCTTCAACTAGAGGTTTCCTTTTACAAAAATTTTAGAAATCAGTAATATCATTCAATATTTTATAATTTTTACAATTTATTTTCAAATGTTACTATTTAAATAAAAAAATAATAAAAATTTCTAAATAGAGTTTAAATACATTGTAGAATTTGATTGCGCTCAAATGCTAAATTGGGAGAAGAAATTTCGGCATATCTTAAATAAGACAATATGTCATACTTATTAATAAAAAAATTTTAAATATAATAAAAAAATTTTAAATATATATTATCCCTGTCATTACAGTGAGTTTTGGTTTAACCTCCTTCAAGATTTTTTTTTAACCCACCCTTTGAAATATCAAAATTTTTTCGGTAAAGTCTTCATGGCCACTATTTCAGATTAGATTTCATTTATGAGTGACGTAGCAGTCTACCTAGACTTTTCTTTTTTATAAATTTTTTATCCATTATTTAAAAATGCACATGGAAATATTTTTAAAATTCTTTTTAAATTGTAAAATTTAACATTTGGGCTTAATACCCAAGTTTTTCAGCAGCGACCAAATACTTCAAATTATTAAGTTTTTCAGCAGCGACCAAATACTTCAAATTCATTTGTTATTGGTGGGTTAGCAAGCTATATTGTATATATAACTTTTGGGAATTTCTTAATCCACCCCTTGATATTTTTACGCACCTAACAAAATTTCTTTTATGCTCCTTCTTTCGGAGATACATATTCGGATGCACCATTTTATTATTTATATTGGATGCTTTCTGAAGATGCATCTATTGAAAAAGTTCTGGAGATATATCTCCGAAATTTTGTCAGAACAGTTTTTTTTTTAAA